ACAGCACTTCCTTTTCTGAACGCATTCTAAAGCAATATGCAGCAAATAAATGCAAAGTCTGGCTGTGGGATAAATGTGCACATTACATCAGAGTCGTTTCTGTCGTGAAGTAAAAAAAAAAAAAAAAACATTATTGTGAAAGTGTCTACTCGGTTGTATTTACCAAAACGGATTCTGCTCACTGTGGTTCCTTTCTTTTTCTCAAAATGTGCGCAGCTCAAGATCGAATAGGCCCCAGTGGCATAGCGACTAGAGTCCTGAAAATGCATAGGGCTGAGATGTGGACTGCACGACATAATGAGGGACAAAACCTGCAGCAAAATGCCACTGCGAGTGGATTTGATTACTAGGGAACGAGAAAAGGAAGCGGCCGGGGCTGGTTAAAGTCAATGAGCAGCGTGGCAGAACCACTGAATGACAGGGCAGCTGATGGCTTAAATGAAGAGCTGACAGCATCATTGAACTGCCTGGCACTAAGTGCTGAAAGTAATTAGTGCTAATTAGGATCAGCGCATGGCGAGCTGATGGCGAGCTGATGTGGCGAACATAACTGGTGTTCCCCGCCCGAATTTGTGCGAAGCTTCATCTGTAAAATCTGCATATTTTGTCATATTCATGATGCGAACAACATTGTTGTATGTGGAACTGATCATTTGTCGCAGCAGCTACTTAGAGCTGCCATAAGAGGGGAAGCTCATTGGTTGAACTCATCACAACAGGCTGCTCACATCTGTAAGAATCCAACAGCTGCTCAGTCTCCATGAAAGACGAAGCATCGAGTCCTCAAATCACCTCGTGTTTATTTATCAGCTCCGACAACCCCTGCACCTGTGGCTCTCACACACACACCACACACACACACAAAACAACAAGAGCACAAGCCCCATGGTTTGATTTTCAATATGGGAAAATGAATGTAGAGAAAACTGAAGCCAAATGACTCATTTTCAGGGATACGAAATGTTGAAAAGGTCGCGCTCATTAGGTGCAGAAGAAAAGAGAAAAAAAGGAATGATGGGGAGAAAACAAAAAGGAAGAAGATGGAGGTTACAATAAGATTGTTATGACATTGAGATACATGTGTTCACTCCTCCAAGCTACAGGGTGCAGCCTCTTGAGGATTGTGTGTAGCTCAGAGTCACCACCCCCTCAACATAGCTATCGAGTGACTGTTGCATTCTCTTCGAAACTGAGCTGATTTGGGTTTTGACAACCTGTGAGTGTGCAGCCTGCTTCTCGAACAATGAGTCTGTGAGGATTACAGTGTCTGTGCGCTCAAAACGATGCAGCAGAGGTCAGAAAAAGATCTAGACGCTGCTAGGCATTTGGAAACTCTGAATTTTAAATGAAACTTTCTCAAATAGTCGTCGTTGTAAACAATATTTTTAAATAAAGGCTTGCACTTTCCCTGCGTCCATTTTTGAAAGAAGCCAACATGTTTTTGTCCACGAGCTGGGACTAATTAATAAAAGCAGCCAAGACGTGCACACATCTCAGTGTCAGTTTTTCCAGAGTTTATAATTATTAGCCGGAGGACACGATTATGCCGGTGAAAGGTTCTTTTTTTTAATGACAGGAAGCTACAGTAAATGTAAGGCGTGCTGTGAGTGTAGAAAGTGTAGAAATGGCACATTGTGCTTGATTCATTCCACCACTACTGCTCAACCACGTCTTTTAAAAGGTAAGGATGGAATAAGTTGTGATATCGATGTAAAACCTTGTGTTTTAAGCCGGTGGTAGATTCTTACATACCAAGGTTACACAAGTAAAGGAAGAGATTAAAGAATCTTTCGCAGCAGGAGGGATTGATGATATAAGCAGAAGCGTAGATGATTTTTCCCCTTAAATCTTAAAAAACTGCAGATGCTCATCTCTTCATGGCTCTCCAGCTCCCTGGCTGAACTGGCCAACATCTCTCTCCTCTTCCATGGGAGCTCACAGCTAATCAACTTTATTTCCGCCTCCAGTTATAATTACAGTCTCAAAGGCCTTCGCAAGAAAACAATAAATGAAAAGGATAAATGAAAATGGCAACCCTCAACCTTAGACCCTCAGCGAGAACAAGGGGGGAAGCCTTCCATGAAAAACTTAATTAGGGAGAAGATGCGGAAACCTCAGGGTGGACCTCACAGAGAGTAATCCCGCTGTCCCGCCCTCACCTTCCCTTCCTGAAAAGCTGCGGGAGGTGATGAAAGTTTGAAAAAAGCCTGCAGAGTATGTGTTTTCCATTTCTGGCACAGATGTATAAGAAACAAATGTGAATAAACTGTGACAGAAAGCTCGATTTATGAATTTGGTTTATTCTGTTCTGTACCATGAGCGTTCTGTTTTCAAAGTGGGAAGTTCATCATCATAATGTGCTCACAGGTAGCAAAGCCCCGCTGAGTGAGGTTACAGCAGAATAGTGCAATAAACAGGCTGTTATATATGATAGGAAATAAAAATGTTAGAGATCTGCCTCAAAAAGCAGTGAAATCATCTATCTCGCTAAATGGTTTCCAAACAGTTAAATAACAGACAGTGGTTACCAAACATGAGGTACGGACCCCCGCCAGTGGACCCTAAGACTGTGTGTGTGTGTGTGTGTGTTAAATTTAAAAGCAACAACAAATTAGGTATTTTACAATTTATTATTACAACAGATTAATAAAAATAGTATTCAAAGCTTGTTTTGTCCCTACTTCATTAATTAATAATAACAAATTAATTTGTATAGCACTTGTCTTAACAAGGTTACAAGTGCTTAACAAAATCCATGGCAGAAAAATGAATGAACTAAAATAAAAGTCATTCAATTCAGTTCAATTTTAAACGCCATATAACCTGACCGCCATGACAAATTTGGGAACCCCTCCCCTAAAGATACCTGGAGGTGCAGGTCTTATAGGTTGGAGATGATACGATATCTTGAACATCAGAGGGTTTGGCTGCAGAAGCTGCTCATGAATTAATCATGGCCGCTAAGCGTTTGTTTGGTTTGCCGCTCGCTGCAGTCGTCTGACGGCACGACCACTGTCGGAGTATCCTACAAATACTGCACGTAACATTTAGCAGTGGTGTTAGGTCACTTGATACTTTCAGCACCACTGCTGAAACATGTTCAAAACTATAATATGTGCAGAATAATAGAAGAGGACATCTTAAGAATTATGCACTCAGCATGCTTGTGTCCTGCAGTCACACTGACAGAGGCAGCTTTTGTTTGAGATTTGCGTGCCTGCCTCAGAACCACTGAGTCAAATAAAACACGTGAGTAACACATGTGTTATCTAATACCTCTAATGCACCAACATTTTTTTAAACCCACTAAAAAAGGTGACTTAGGCTTTTCCCGTTGCCATTAGCGGATTTTACCACATTGGACTTATCTCATCTCACTGTCTTTCGAGGGTTGCATCCTGCAAATAAGAACAAAAATTCTGTTGCACGTTGTTTCTGAGATGTTCAAAAACTAAGTGCACACAAGTTTGTGGCTATCTATGCTGCTGAAAGTTCAATGCACATCATAACGCCATGCAGAAAAAGAGCAGTGTCAGCATCTAGACTAAAAAATACCAAAAAAAGAAGTTTCTGCATTCAGCCAGGGTGTCATGTTTCCATCACTGCCAATCAGAGCCAGAGCCAATCAAAACCTTTCTACTGCAGAGTCGTAGTGATTTCTGATTATATCCATTCCCATTGCAGAAATAAAAGATGTTAGTGGATATTAGTGGCTTTTACTTTGGTGGCTGAAAACACATACAAATAGAAAACACACGTGAATTAAGAAAACAACTTGAGCTGCAAAAACATTACAACACATGCAAATACAGAAACGTGCAGCAAATTAAGAAAACAACCCGAGACTTGTTTCCAGGGGACCGAAAAAACTGATGAACATGTGCAGTTCCATCATCACTGACAAGAAGCAGACTTCAATACCTTCACAAAGCATTGAACTACAGCCAGGCTCATCGTTTCTTTGGGTCCCCTGGAAACATTTTTAATTGCAGCGTCTTTCTGTATTTGCATGTGTTGTTACTTTTTGCAGCTCATATGTTGTCAGATTGATGAAGTTGTTCATCCACACCCTACAAAGTTTAGGGAGGAGGAGCAAGCAATTCAAAAACTTCTGGCAGTGTGGTTTCCGAATTAGGCTTTACACTGGATCCAAATTGTTACAAACTGATGGCAGCAATGTTTCAAAATGCAACACATTTTTTAGATTTAAGGATAAAACCCAACTCATAGGTCTGAGTTGGGTGGCAGTTTGATCTAAGTCTTTGATCTTGTACAGTGAATAGCAGAGAACCGAATCGGGTCAGGGACTGCTCCCTGCTCGCACACACATTCACACGAACACACCTGGGAGTTGGCACAGTGCATGCACAGTCTTGTTGTTATTTGCTGCTGCATGAGCAGGGGTTAGAGGTGACTTGCTCAAGGGCACCTTCAGCAAGTCTGGAGATCAAGACGAGATGTCTAATTTTTCCCTATACCCAGATAATTCTTTTCTCCCCCTCTCTGCTCATTTGTCTGATGAGACCACACCACCCCAAGGTCACAGAATGGAGGGGGGGAGATCTGCTCCCATTTCCTACTACTGCAGTGATTCACATGAGACTGCTTTATCACTGTCAATAGCAGCTCACGGGGGCTTGGCATCTCTCGTCAGCCGTGTTGGGACCTTGGGCACCTGCGTCAGTGCTCAGAGCCCCCCTGCTGAAGAAGTGGGCCCACTCGCTGCTGCTGCTGCCTGGGAGGCTGCTGTGCAACAACGCACAAGGAGGAGGAAGAGGAGGGGGGTGAAGAGTCCCTTCCAGCTGTCGAGAGCATCACTGACAAGCTGCTCGGTCCTCCCCGAAAAACGTGCGTGTGTGTGACAGATCACCGCCTCCAAAACAGCCCTCGGGTTCAGGGTTTGCCGCTCCTGGCCAGCGCCAATCTGAGGTGGGTATAAGGAGGGGGCGGGAAGGTTAGTTTGAAGAGGGCAGAGCTTTGCGAGAGGACGCAGATCCCCCCCTCTCTCTTATATTATTTCACCGCTGGAGAGGAAAAAGAGAAAAGAAAAAAAAAACAGTGGAGAATAAGAGCTGAGGGAGAAATCAGTCGGACCCATCGTCAGAAGCTCATTAACTCGGAGAGAAGAGGAGGAGAGAGGAGGAAGAACACGCCGCTGATACACTGCTGCTGGTGAGATGATGCTTATTCTTTTTAACATGCTTGTCATTAACCTGCGCTATGTGTGTGTGTGTGTGTGTGTGTGTGTGTGTTTGTGTGTGTGTGTGTGTTCCGCGTGACGTGGGGAGGGTTTGTCAGGTTTTACGCACATGTCCGCTGCATGGGCATGGTTCGCAAATGCGCGCAGTGGCACCGTTTCATGCACATGCAACAACTGCTGTTTGTGTTGTGTACCGCAGTGTAATTGATGGTTTAACAGGTCTCCCCCCTATATGCAGCTGCTGCTGCTGCTGCTGAGGATGCGGTGCTGCGCGTCGTTCACAAACTGAAGCCTGGTATGATGATAAAATAAATTTTAAAAAACACTTCGTCTGGGAATTAAGTAGTGTTTTCTTTTCTTTCTTTTTCTTTTCTGTTATTGTGGGGATGCAGTTCAGGCAGTGGCGCTGTTAAATGTTACTTGACTTGTGTGTACTGATGGACAGAAGACGACACAATGCGACACACGGCGGCGGCTCCAGCTGGAAATTATTACTTTCCCGTTAATGGGCAATTAGAGGATGGCGCGCGTCGTGCGTCCTGCACCGTTTTTTTTTTTAACTTCTGCCTCCCGCTCCTCTGCCCCTGGATCACTGGACATCCTGACATTAGAAAAAAAAGCACCCGCAGCCAGTGAGAGAGGCTAACTTAACCTTGGAACAAAGCCCCCACACCACCACCTTCACAGCGCAAGGGTCTGGCAGCTGTCTGCGCCCACCACCCCAGTCCACAGCACAACAACACTGCCAGGAAAAATCATACCGGTGTCATGTTTGTCTTATAACATCAGATTTAACTTGAGAGCCGAGGAGGAAAAACACATTTGGCCACACATATTTATATAAAATATTAATTTCTCTTAATGGTTTAAACCAAATAAATGTGTGAGAGACACAACCCTGCCTCATTGACAACACAACATATCCTCTGTCTCTCTCTCTCTCTGTCTCTGCCTATCCCTCTCCATCTCCTCACCCCTCCTGGCAGCCACCGACTACGTTTACATGGACACCAATATTCTGACTCTTGATCTTTTTCAGAATAAGACATAATTTTGATTATGGTGTTTACAGGAGGGCAGGATGGTGATGGTTATTCTCTCACAGCAAGAAGGTTTCTGGTTTGAATCCAAGTTTGGCCAAGGTCTTTCTGTTTCAGAGACTCTGAATTGATCGTAGGACTGTCATGGTTGTTTGTCTCTGTTGGCCCTGTGTGATAAGCTGGACACCTGTCCAGGGTGTACTCCGCTGGGATTGCTCCCCCAGCTGCCCCCACAACCCTTAAAGAATAATCAGTGTTGATAATAAATGGAACGGATGATTACATGAGTTGATAATAGAATATCCTATTCATATTCCTGTTGACATGTTACACAGCATGGTCTGATTATGGCCCATCATTGCGTGCACCCTTCATAATTTCCATTTCCCCTAAAATGCGTAGCATAACTACAGTTTCCCGCTCACCCAAGAAATGGGACTTCAAAATACTGTGAAACCTCCAGAAGGACGTTATAATGCAATTAAGACCAATTCATGTTTACATAATGGGACTAGAATCCTCCACGTGTCTTAAACTGATGATTGCTTATGACCTTATTCAGGTTAAGGTAATCAGAAAATGCCATTTACGTGGCAGAGTATTGGCAACTATGTAAATGTAGCCATTGACCATGCACAGTAGTGTTTCAATGGCCTTGTAAGATTTGGCCAACATCCAGTGTGTTGAGCGAAGGCTTTGTATCATCACACCCAAACAGCCTAAATAATTCAAATAACATCAAACCCTCTGCAGAAGCTCATGAAACTGTCTTCAGAAAAATCGTTTGGACTTGTATCAGCAGAGACCGCATGAACACGACCCGCTCAGAATTACTATTGCATTGTTGTTTTCGTTGTTTTTTTGCGGCCTTTCTCAACGGGGTTGAACATGAAGGCAACAAATGGTTTCAGCCGTGGAGAAAGGATTGGCTGGAGTCCCCTGACTGACTGACAAAGCACCTATATTCTCTTCAAGGTGATTTTGATGACGCATGTGTGGGTGCACAGTGTGGTGATTGGTGGCACTTCTCCAGACAAGATGCACATAAACAATCCTGCTGGTTCTGCATATTTAAAACGTACTCAGGTGAAAAACAAGCTTGACACGCAGATATTTCACATGAGAAGGAGAAATGATGTTGCGTTTATTTGCTTAATCTTTTTCCTGCTTCTCAACCAGCCAATGTCAGAGGCCAGGGTCTGGATTTAATTAGTGGCTATCATCCAGGTCAAGGTTAAAAGCTGTCATTCACTCCGAAGATCATTTCCCCCCCTCTGCTCTGCCTGTGGTCGGCCAGTTGCCACATTAGCAGGAGACCTTTTCCTGCTCATCACATATTTCTGTTTTTCGACCGCACCTCACATTTGATGTAATGCACAGTCATCTGTGGCTCCTCACAGCCACCCCCACCCCCCATTTCTCAGTCTGCGCTCTACACGCTTCATAATGCAATGACTCCCCAGACTCGTGAGTGTGACCACAAGTAAATGACTTTTCTCAGCCAGTTTCTTCATCTGTTGAGACATACGGAGCAGTGAGGCCCCCCCCGTCTCACAGTAAATGGCTGCATGGTGGAAGGGAAGCGACATCAAACTTATCGGGGATGTGTCAGGGACAGCAGATTTTGTTTGAAGGAGAAGGTGTTATCTTTTCCCGGGGATGTACATTATAGATACGGGGTTCTCCTGCATCTGAAGTGGCGTGATTAGAGGATCTGTTTGTAATTGCTAATCTTCGGGTTCTGTATGCAAACCCAGGCAAATTGAACACACGGCGAAGAAGACAGAGGCAGATTGTTGCAGGGATTAACATTTCTATATTATCCCTATACGCACAAAATAAGGGACGATGCAGTAAAAAGTATCTGAAATTATTAGAACATGAATGAGAGGAATGTCTGTCAGAGTGTTAGGGGAAAGCACACGTTAATGTATACATCATGCTTTGGAAACTAATCAGTAAACACACACAGTGAGAAGCTTGTTTTCGAGATGTCAATGTGTGCTGAGATCAGCCACACAGCTCAAGTGGAGATGGGACTAAGGCATAAAGCTACTGGCGGATGCTGATAATGATAACAGCTGACGGGTGGTAAAATCACAAGAGCCCTCTAAGTATGTTGGAGCCTCGACTGCGATCATGTCAGTCATGACCAAGAAGCTCTGAGGGGAAATTTACAGCTCGACTCCACATGGGCAAAGATGATGAGAAGCGGAACAAAACAGGACAATGAGGAGGCTGTGTTAATACAGTCAGAGGAGAGATGCAGACACACGAACACCTCACCGATCCAGCACAACCAAACATAATTTGCAGTGAAGCAATTGAATATTTTAAGGTTGAGGAGGACTTCTGCATTGCTCAGAATCTCTCAACATATACTCACTGCCTGCAAGAATTCCACTTACCTCCTTCATTACCTCATTATTTCCCCATTTATGTGCAGAAGAGGAGTAAGATTAATCACTGAAGCTTCATTCACACAGGAATAATGTTACCTCTAAACACCCACTGATTTATGATCATTTATGTCTTTGTCACTGGTCTTGAGCCTTTACAAATTTTCTGCAAAATCCTTAAACCAAGGACTTGTACTACTGATGCTGGCAGAGACAGAGGAGTCGTGACAACAATGTTCCCATGCAAATGTACATCAACGTCATTTAGGGACTAAATCCCCTTGCCAAGACTGAAACGTTTTCAACAAGTACATTAGCAGCACAGAAAATCATCGACTATTGTTTGATGAATGACCGAGGGAGCCTGTGCAGCAGTTGCATGGTTACCACATTCACATTGTGCTTGGTAGATAATCGGTCAAAAACCAGTTGTTTCGGTTTATTCCGCTTGTCTCCAAATGAATTCATAACCTGCTCCTCTACGTATTACAACCTATGCTCAGAATCCATTGTCACCACAGATGTTCACCTTTTGTTTCTCACTCTGTTTGTACGTGGGACAGAAAATAGGAGGAAATCACTGTTACAGAAACACATCCTGAAAACAAAAAAATAATCTGATATTTAAATGAAGCTTTGCAGATTGGAGCAACTGAAACATGCATTTATGTTGGAATACATTTGTCTGTATTGTATATAAGAAGAGTGCAGTGCCCATTCTAAACCTGCCTGTTTGGAACGGGCTGTTCGCCTGGTCTTTGGTGATGTTGGGTGCAGTGTTCTTTCTGAAACTGTCAAAGTGACTTGCAGTAATTCAGTCAAGGCAGTTAAAGACCGGCTGCAGGACTCGGTCCAGAGAACCCTGAAGCTGCGCAAAGAGTTGTTAACCTGCTGTTTCAAAGGTCTGTAAAGCTCGACTCATTAGCCGATCCCCAAAGAGGAGAATCAGTTGTTGTGATCAACAACGTTGCTTACATTGACGAGTCCCAGCTGCTGCTAACTGCAGAGCCATGGTTGCGTGTTTATTCAAATTGTATTGATGTTGTATGTACTGTATCACATGTCCAAATCGCACCCAATTTATCAGTGCACTTAATTGAGCCCTTAACAATACACGTGTTACGTGTGAAGCGGATGTGACAATTGACAGACAGGTATTCACACAGAGGTGACTGAAGGTTGTACAGTGCCAACTTGATCGCTCTTATTTTCACACACTCTCCTAAACCACATGTCTGGTCTGTGCTGTGACCTTTAAGGTGACAGGTTAGTTAGACCTGAGAGTCAACATTTTTCAAGTGCCAGAACCGTCCAGGAGCCTATAGCCTCTGGATGCCCAGTACTGAAGAGGTACAAAGGCTGCAGGTCCTCAAAAACCCCTGATGCATGAGACAAGACCTGAAATAGTGTGAAGGGGAAGATAAATGCTGTATTTAAACCTGGAAAACCTTCTTAAATCAGTCCGATCACGCATTAATGTGATGGACTGGCACTGAAAAGGAATTAAAGTATTTGATATTGGACATTTGATTG